GATGGTCAGTTTTGACGATGATGCACAGGAAGCCCCCAAAGACATCCTGTTAGCCCTGTGTCTCCTGGTGTGGGGCAGTTCTGCCTGGCCACTGCCTCACCCATTTGGCCCCCACCTGTCCTGGGCTCCTCTGCCCCTACCATCTGTCTGCTCCGGTGCCACCTCACCCCTCCACCTGGTCACCTTAGGAGTCAACTGCTCCGGATGGAGGGAACCGTGACCGATTGGGGGTTTTTCTTGGGTTCCTACCTGATTGGGAATAATGAAACAGGAACTTATCTCAACAGGAGAGTAACCTATTGGGACAGGGTGGGACTGCCCCCAAAGTGTTCCAAACTGGTCATCTCTGAGGGAGCGGTTGGTGGGCTCAAACCACCGACCTTTTGTTTGGCAGGCCAACACTTAACTCATGGTACTACCAAGGCTCCTTGCCAATATGCTGCCATCGAGCCCAGCCTGACTTCTAGCGACCCTCTAGGATAAGGTGAGCAGACGTCCCGCTTTTGGGGGGCAGTCCTGATTTTTAACAATTTTTTCCGTGTCCCGTGGCGTTTTTAAAAAGTCCCGATTTTTGGAAAGAATGCACGACAAGCTAGGGTATACGGTTTTCGGCTGCCATGTGGCTATTTCGCCAGGATATGAGTTTTATCAATGGTGTCCCGCTTTTGTCCCGCTTTACCAATGCTAAAATCTGGTCACCTTACTCTAGGACAGAGTAGAACGGCTGCCCAGGTGTCCCAGGCTGTCACTCTGGGGGCAGCAGCCAGACTCACCCACCTCTGGAGCGGCTGGTGGGTTGGAACTGCTGACCGTGTGCTGAACAGTGTAACCCAGCATCCCACCAGTGAGGCCCACCTCACAGCAGGGCCGGCATGAGCAGAAAACACTCTCCCCCAGGGCTGGTGGGCTGTGGGGGCGGGGGCTCTCCCCTAGGCTGGTGAAAGACACACTGACCAGATCGAGGGAAGGTAAGCGGCCAGGCGCTCAAACGGGAAGGCAGGATCTCTAGGACCAGCATCTCATGCCCTGCGTGCCTTTAGCTGAAGTGAGAGGTGGGGGCAGAGCAGCCGTTGGAGCACACCTGGGTTGGCAGCCTGAGGAGCCAGCATGGGCGTGCTCAGGTGAGGGGTCCTCCCCCATGGGCCCTGGTACAGCACCTCCCCTCCCACCAGCTGTCCCGGCAGGCATGTCCCTTCTTCTTGGCACGCCCCCACCCCCCACCCCCCTCTAGACCCCGGCAGGTGAGGGAGCACCTGGGACTGGGTAGGGAGGCCAGAGGGGTTTCTGTGCCCGGGGCCTCCACAGGGCCAGCCCCAGAACTCCGACGACCCTGCCCTGTGGTCTTAGGGGCTTAGTGTCACCCCAGGCAGGGCCTTCTGAACTCACTGCTGCCCTGCCTGGAAGCGGGGGGGGGGGGGGGGGGGGGGGGGGGTTGCTGCACACCCCCATCTGCAGCCCGCAGTGAAGAGCAGAGGCTCAGGTCACTCCTTCCTCCTGACGCTGGCTGCCACCCGAGGCTCCAGGGGCTCCAGCACTGTCCGGGGTGTCCCCCTGCTCACTCTGTGCCCTGCAGACAGAGGGAAACAGAGTCTGGGGACTGACCAGCCTCCCAGGAGGAGGTGTGGCCATGGCTCTAGGAGGGGCGGCAGGTGGCCTTTACATCCATCCGACTGTAGTCATGAAGGCAACCTGGGTGGTTGGCTCGGGGGTCAGCTCTGAGTCCCGGGCCTGAGGGAGGCAAATGCCTCCAGCTCTGAGCTCTGGGCTCTGGGTAACGGAGGCAGGTACCCAAGTCAGCTCTGAGCTCTGGGCCTGGTGGACAAAGTTGCCAGGGTCAGCTTCAAGCTCGGAGTCTGGTGGACAC